CGCCGTTTTGCTGCCTGCCCAGAGGCTGTCCCGCAGATTTTTCCGGCCACCCAACTGACCGACCCCACCCATCGACGCGTCCCCCTCCCAAAAATCCCATCCCCACCCCCATCGCGGCGTATCCATCTTACCCCCTTTTCGCAGGCGCAACGTGGACCAGCGTGGCTGCAGAGTTTGCAGAGACCCGGGATGACCTGACCACGCAGCCGAAGACCGCCTGCTATGCGCGCGCCCTCGCCCGCGCCCTCCCCGCCCCCTCCGCTGCGGACCCCGCCGTGCGCGGCTACGCCTTCCAGCTGGCGCGCTACACCGTCCGGATGACGGTCTCGCTCGAATCCTCCGAGCCGCCGCCGCCGAACGCGCGGGCCGAGCTCGCCGCCGCCGCCGCAGCGCTCGCGGGCGGCGCCGGCCAGCCGTGGGTCGAGGGCTACTCCGAGTCCAACCGCTCCGCGCCCGCCGGGCGCACGCTGTACGCCGCTGACCTGGCAATGGGCGTGAACTTCACGACTGCGGCCGGCGCGGCGCCGCTGCTGGCATCCCTCAAGGACGGCTCGGCGAAGCTGAAGCTGCAGGTCGGTTTTTGCTGTTCAGCTCGCGCTGCCCCTTGCCACCCCGTCCTGTGAACGCGTCAGCGACAGCCTGCGCCCCCGCCAAGCCGTGTTTCGTCGCCTGGGTGTCTTGCCGGCCCTCAACTCGCGGCCTGCTGCAAATCTTGCCCTTTTGTCGCTGTTGCCCTCCACACAAAGACACTGGAGAGCGCTCGACACCGTTTCATCCGCTACCCCACTGACCCCCGGCGCGGCGCGCCCACCAACGCAGGGGTTCGCCAAGCAGCTGCCCGCTGCGGCGTCCCTGGACAGCTTCCTCGCAGCGCCCGGCACCACTTGGGGCACCGCTGCTGACTCATGGCTTGTCTACACCCTCACTTTCGACGTGCCCTCCTGCCTGAAATATGTGGATTCGATGATCGCCCCCCTGTCCTCCCCGGGTCTGCTCGACGGCCCATGCGGCAGGTCTACCGGGGCCGCGGATGACGGCGGCGACGAGGCGGCCACGGATTATGCCGGCGAGTCATCGGCGCACCTGTCGCAGCTCGTGCTGTCTGACGCAAGCGCGAAGCACGGAGACAGTGAGCGGCCGCCTGACAGTTTGGTTGGGTTGCCGGGCGGGGGCGGGGAGGGGGTAATCAATGGGGGACAGGAGCTGCTCGCTTTTGGAGTGGAGAGCAATACACAAGGTGTCTGTATCTGCTTGCAGTACACAGCTCCGTACAAGGTGCAGAGACGTCACCACACCTTGGTTTTCGGCAACAATGCAGCTGCAGGTCAGAAGACACACACACACACACACACACACACACACACACACACACACACACACACACACATCCCCCCTCTCTTTCTCCCTCTCTCCCTCTGTCCCTCTGTCCCTCTGTCCCTGTCTCCCTCTCTCCCTCTCTCCCTCTCTCCCTCTCTCCCTCTCTTCCTCTCTCCCTCTCTCTCTCTCTCTCTCTCTCTCTCTCT